GGGGGGGGGGGGGGGAAGCAAGGCTGACCAAAAACCATTTCTCCCTTAAATCTTTTTTAACAAGATGACAACTTCCATCATGTTAGCTTTCCAAGGACTATTCTTCCCTCTTCTCCAATTCAGTGAAGAAAAATTCTTATTTAATAACAGTATTAGTCAAACCTATTTCTGAAGTCACCAGATTCCAACATTTCAAACTACTATGCTAGAGTTAGCATTTCCTAGGAAAGATAGAAGACAAATTTTTCACATGACCTCTCACTTACCCTTGTATCTGGACACTGTGTGGCTTCACAGACCACCTGCATAATAAAGTGCCTTTCGGACTGCAAAAGAATAAAAATGAAGAAAATGAGAAGAGTATAAACCACATATATGAAGATTACAAGACTATCCCTTCAAAGAAAACTCTCACTCCCTTAGGGACCCACACAACCCTGGACCAATCAAGCAGGTTTTCCTGACACAGTAATGGGACTATGAAGGCTCTACAGAGTTTGCCCCCAGTGTCTACTATATGACCTGCCCTCTAAGGAGGTCCTGAATCTTTTAATCCCCCAAATGACCTTCACTAACAAGACTTGAGGAAGGAAGCAGACAGGAAAATGTAGATCACAGGATTGAAATAAAGATGGTTAAAACAAAACAAAAAACCCCCCTACAATTAGGAAAACCCCCTTCCTTGTATTTAAAATTTAAGAGAGGGACTTCCCTGGTGGTCCAGTGGCTAAGACTCTGAGCTCCCAATGCAGGGGGCCTGGCTTCAATCCCTGGTCAGGGAACTAGATCATGCATGCTGCAAGTAATATCTCACATGCCACAACTAAGACCCAATACAGCCAAATAAATAAATAAATAAATTTTAAAAATTAAATATAAAAAAAATTAAATTTAAGGGAATTCAAACAAACCCAGATCAAATGTGGTAAGATACAGGAGAAGACTAAGGAACTACATTTTCCAAGCAATTAGAATTGCAGTTTGCTTTGGTTTCTTAGACCTTCCTACTTTGTCCACCCTAAGGCCAAGAAAAGGCAAAAAGCCCAACTAAAGCGTCAACAAACGCACAAAAATGCTTTCAGACTATATCACCCAGCAATCGACTTCTGGGTATATATCCAAAAGAACTGAAAACAACTTCTCAAAGATATATTTGTACACCCACGTACACAGCAACACTATTAACAATAGTCACAAGGTGGAAGGAAGCAAACCAAATGCCCATCAACAAATGAATATAATGGAATTATTATTCAGCCTTAAAAAGAGAATTCTGACACATGCTATAACATGCATGAACCCAAGACATTATGCTAAGTGAAATAAGCCAGTCACAAAAAGACAATTCAAATACTATATGATTCTACTAACATAAACTGTCTAAACAAACTCATAGAATCAGAAAGTATAAAGGTGGTTGCCAGGGATTGTAAAGGGGAAAATGGGGAGTTAATATAATTTCAGTTTTGCAAGATGAAAAAGTTCTGGAGATTGGTTGCAAAACAATGTGCATATACTTAACACTACTGAGCTTTACATTTAAAAATGGTTAAGATGGCAAACTTTATTTTATTGTATTTTAACACAACTAAAAATAAATAATAGGGGGAAATACTTTCAGGCAAAATAAACTTTATTTATATATTAATTTTCAAAAGCACTTTCCTAAGGAAGTATGAAACAGCCCAATTTGCATAATATTTTTTAAAAAAACCCAAAACATACTCACACTTTGGACTGCAAAAGGGAAAACCTAAACCTAGAAACATTTTAGATCACATTATTCCCAGAAGTCTGATGAGAAATGGCAAACACCTACTCCATGGCCGTTTCACACAACACAAATCTTAACTAGATGGGAAATAAATGCTTCTAAACAAGATGGTACCTTCTAAGTCATAAACTTAAAACAAAACAAAACAAAACTTTCATTTAACTCTCACGCCTCACCCTCTGAACCTACACCTTTTAATCAAGAGACACTTACCTCTTTGTCAAAGTTTGCTTTGGTGAACTCCAGTGAGTTCAGGAGTGCATTAGTAGCCGCTAGCTTCACATTATTACTAGGCTCTTCTTTCCTCATCCCCTGGATTATGGCAGTCAGAATCTCATTGGATTTATCCTGTAGCTGCTCTGGGTCCTGAAACAGCAGAGAAGTGCAGTGAATATAATAACTGAGCTCATGACTAATCAGCAGTCCTTTCAACTGTAAAATCTATTTGAGAGAGTATCATGAGACTTTCCTGATCTTTTCCCACACATTTCCATTTAGGGACAAACCACCTGCAAAATATCCCAGGGTCTGGTAGTCCAAAATTGAACTGAAACAAGTTAAACTCATCAACTTCATCTCTGCTTCTTAGCATAATGACTCTGGGCATGAAGTAATGCTGGCTTTTTTTTTCCCCTTCTGTGCAAATGGAGATGGCAGTCTGGTGTTTTTTTCCAGGCCATCTGTACCAACTGAAGTAAAGCTTCAGAACATCTGAGGACCAAGGATCAACACCTGGGCACATCTATGGAGTCTAAGTCCAGGTCAAGTGCTGTGGACTTCTTTGCTTCATCAAATCTGTATATCAAAACAGACACCAAGAGTAGTAACCTCAGCAGCAACAACAGTCCTAGGAGGGCTGCATTTAACATACTGTGTTGTGGCTCCAGTGGTTAAACCACTATAGCAAAAGCTGGCAAACTGTTTCTGTAAAATAGTAACTGAAAAAGTAACACAGCATCCTTGGTACATTGAGAATCTTCAGAAAGTGATCAGATCAAGGAGAGGAGAGAATATCTATGCCCCTCCATATAAGGATTTCCATCTTGAGTTTGTAAACCTTAAGTCTCTTTCCTTTAGGGCATGCTTAGCAATATGAGGATAAATTAACTATCTAAATATAGAAGTTTAAAATAACAAATAAAGCAGCCCTACTTTCAAAACACTGCAATAGCTTGGTTTTCTTCATGATGATAAAGAATAATTCTAATACCATGCATGTTACAACTAGAGGGAATCAGAGGTATATAAGTTAGATACAGCACTTACTATATCTTGGCAAATGTAACCAATAGCTTCCAATGTCGACTCTTTCATGTGCTCTGTGCTGTTGGGGTTTGTGACATTGGCCACCAGCTGAGGAATGAGTTCTGGCCATTGGTTCACTGGGATCTCTGCACAAGCAATACCAGCCACACACTGCGAGGCAGAACTAGGCCGGTAAGTTTCTGTGCCCAAAGTCTGCAAAACCTGTATGCAGGTACACACACAAAAAGACAAAAGATATCAATTTTAATACTACTTGAATATATTTTGCCTACCAGCATCCCTCTTACATCAGTCTCTGAGTTTTCTATAATACAGAAAAGTAGGAAAAGGCATATACAGTGTAGGCCACCTGTTGGGAAAACAGCCAGCCTCAATACCAACAGCAGCACAATCAGCACTGCCCCAGAGCCTAGAAATGAAACCAATTATCTCCTACTTCCAAATGGAATCTCCAAAGCCAGATACCTCACCTCAGTGTTCAACACAAGGTAAGAAAGTAGCAAAGGCATAGGTACAGATAAAGAATGAAGCCACAACTGACCCTGGGTTAATCATTACCATGATCAGCTAATTCTGTCAATGAACTCACTAAGAATCACCAGTCCACTCAAAAGGCAAACAGTTAACTGTTCCTGGCATGAACACAGGACAAAGAGTAGCTGCCAGATATTCAAGCCAGCTCTGCTGACTAGGTCAGGTCACTTAGTATCCTGCTTTGTAGCTAATAATAATGAAATCCCCATCCTTCCCCCTTATATGGTATATCATCAGCCCTGCCCACTCCCAACAGCTCTACCCAGTAACAGTTCTGATTGATTCTAAATGAAGGTTTTGCTCCCTAGGGCTACCAGAGCTAGACTGGACTTTAACAAAAACTGTTATGGGGAAGGGGGCAGGGAGCAGGGATGAGATGAATTGTCCAAAAGGGCAGGGGTTGAACAGGTATTAATCCAAGTCTGACTAAGAAATACAGGGTGCCTTTATACTATATTGCACCATCTCCTAGTACATAAGTGAATCCCATTCTATCTTTAGCTTTTCTCCTTTAAATTGCTTATAGAAGACCATTAATTAATATTACTTGAGGTGATTTAGAGACTACAAATGTCTAAATCCTGAGTACTGAAAGTTATTTTTTTAAAACTAGGGGTGACCCTAATGATAGTAGTCAATTATCAGAAATAAGAGTAAGAAATTAGCTCTCAACTGTGTCCAGACCCACATTTTAAAAAATAACCACCAGCACTGAAAAAGTATTACCAGATGTGCTATGAAAGGGAAAAAAGCCCAAGATAACTGCTATTTTTTTCATGCATGAAAGCTCAATAATGTCTATACAAATTCTTACTCAAAAATTTTAAATTTGTTGTTAAGATTGATGTGCCCCCCTCCAAAGTCAACTACAGTTCCAATCATGTCTTCTCTCATTTACTATTGTGTAATTTGAGGAAAACGAGAAATCGAATGAATACAGTTAATTATCAAGATTTCCAGTGATTATGGGACTTCCCTGGTGGTCCAGTGGTTAAGACTCCACCCTTCCACTGCAGGGGCATGGGTTCAATCCCTGGGTGGGAAACTAAGATACCGCAGGCCACGCGCGCGGCCAAAATACAAAAACAAACAAACAACAACAACAACAAAAGATTTCCAGTGATTAATGGAATAAACTTCATTTATATCAAATTACTGAGAGGAGGATTAAAATGTTATTATATAAGGAAACCCAATGTGGACAGAAATAGCTCTACATATTCCAAAGAAGATTCAAAATAAGTTGGCTTTTGTAACCTAGTTTCCTGTCATGAGTTCCTCCATGCAAGAGTGAAGAGGGAAGGAGGTACATAATTAGAAAGAGAAGTTACTGCCGTAAAGAGCACTAATTTACCTAATGCTGACACCCAGAACCAGGAAATAGAAGATTGATGTGCAGAACCACGACTAGCACAAGTACAGACGCAGAAATCCCCCCACTGGTTTCTCCTTAAATACCAAGGACCAACAGATGACTGCACAGATGTTTGACTTACTACTCTCTGTGCCTTATCCATGTAACACAGGCCACTAAAGAACCCCCCCCAAAAAAAGCATATACGTCCATATATTCTGAGTTCTTTGCTGCAGCAAAAATTATGGATTTCTAATTCACCAAGCAAATCACAAGAACTCCATAATGCAGTGCAACAAGTGACATTCAATTTTCCTCAAAAAATAAAAATAAATAAAAACTAAAAATCCATCAGCTCACTTTTTAAACACCTTGACAAAAAGCCAGATGTCTCTAGAAGTTTCTCATTATTTGCTAAGTAGATAAAAACATGATTAATGTCATAATCTTATTTCACAAACTCTTTGGGCTTGAAAGCCCAGGAGATCATTTAATTCCCCTTCTGACTCCGCACAGTGCCATGCCTAAATCACCAAACAATGAGAACTATCTACAGCAGAAGTTCAGCAAGAGCTAAGTGTTAGTTAACTAAGGAAGAATCACTTGGATAAAGACAGTTTGAGAAAGAAGAGTTGTATCAAATACATTTTTTACCTTCAAGTTAAGTTTAGATCCCAGACATCTATTGCACTGTCAGCTCCTTCCCATGCAGATGACCAAAGAACTGACATTCCCCAGGCTAGTGTGACCACAAGGAGATGAAAGCTACTTACGTAATTTTTGACTTCCCGTCGAGCATTAGCATCAATAGCAAGCCACCTCTGTTGGTACTGTGTCTTGATATCTGGATCTTTAGATGTCAAAGAATTCTTGATTTGTAGACCAGCTGCAACTCTGGCAACCTGACTGTTTCCTGGATTTGCCAGCACTCTGGACAGTTCCACAAGGAAAGTGGGCTGTTAAGATGTGAATGAATAATACCTCTTAGGAATTTTACCAATTGAGAATAGCACCAAAAAACAGGGGAAAACCTAAAATTTTTAGGACATACAATATTTCGGAAAATGCCAAAATATCTACTTCAAGATTCCTATAAAAATGTTATTTGGTACATGAGGAAGTCATCCATCTTCTCACACAGACTCAGCATTTAACAAGGAGTTACAGGTTTTCCTATCAACATCAACTAAGAGTGCCCAAATCTTCACATCAGATCCCCCAGAATTAAAGCAAGCTTGACAATCTGGTAGAGGATTCTTCTTCATACCTAGAACAAAACCTGGTACTCAGTAAGTTGTATTTGTTAAATGAACATGTTATGACAGGGTAGAAAGTAAAATTGTTACTTTTAAAATTTAGATTAAAAAAAATTCTTAGTCCAAAAAGAATGACACCCAGGGTGGCTTTTGATCTCATGGAAGCAGGTATGAGAGGGAAGTACTTCTAAATGTAAAACATAGAGTTAGGAGGCTAGTTAGTGTTCTCTAGTTTAGTTTTCAGTGTTTCAGCAAAATGGTAACAGTGGAAAAAGATTTATAAGGAAAAAGTGATAACAAATATTTAGAAATAGGGGGCAACTGAAAAGATAAAAATGTCAAGGAAAATGACTTCATGTTTAATAGGCAACAGTTAACACACTAAAGGTTCCTATTCCTTGAGTTGTTCCTATTCTTGAGTTGTTTAAACATTACTGTAGATTCTTGAAAAGTATACTCAATCTTTTGTACTGCTCAGGTCCCCAATTTGCTTTAAAAATTTGGTTTAAAAATTTTAACACACACTAGTCTTCCTTGCTCTCTCCAATGGAAAAGCTAACAGGATAAACTAAAAGCAGATAGTTTACCACTAACAAGTCCTCCAACCACAGTAGGAAATAATTCTTAAAAGTTTTATTAATTATATACCACTAAAGAATGTTGGGAATAAGATAAAATGTTAGGAATAAGAGAAAAGGCTCCTTGCAAATTTAGCAAAAGAGGAATATATAACAAATGGAAATATTATCAGTCTATACTAGTAGATAAAAATCTTTTCTATGGAAAGTTAAGGATAAAAAGATTAGTAGTAAAAACGAACACATGGAAAGGCCAAAAAACCCACAAAAAACACGAAACTCCACAAAACACAAAAAACCAAAAAACCATTCAAAGGCAGTTTGTATAAAATAAAAATACATCTTTTTTTCTTGCGTTATTTTGCCTAGGTAACACAAAAGAACACATCTGGTTACAGTGAACTATTACCTTTAAAAGATGTCTAGTATCATTCACCCTTCTCTCTGCTCCCCATCCCCCCAACAGGAGGGACTCCAAAGAGAAACATTACCGGCACAAAGGTTGTTTCAACCAATACGTCTCACAATTTTATACAGAGGTCCAGTCTCTAGGGGACTTAACATTCATTTGTTCTGTACCCTTTAAATTTGAAAATATGAAAAACGAGGAACTTTCCTCTGGAAACAGGCCCGATCTCAAGGATGAGCCTCAGCCTGTTATCTGGGTGCAGATTTAGTCTCTACTGATCCGGGGGGGCGCGGGGGGGAAATACAAAAAGCCGGGTGAGGAATACCCAGTCAAGAAAGGGAGAAACACTGCCGGAAATGGGTTAAGAGGCATTCGGGTGCAGGCCTGGCCATGAGCACAGACCAAGGGAGACTGGAAACGGTAGAGCTCTGGGAAGTAGGCGGACAATCACAGGGGCCACGGGACAGGAAGGAGAAGCCGGCCCCGGTACGAACAAGGCGGGCGGCGGGGTTCGTAGCTTCCACATGGCCCCTAGGCCCGGCTCCCCCACCCCCACCCTTGCTGAACACGCAGCGCCGCGCAACCTAACCTCCCCTCCCTCCCTCTTTCTCCCTCCTGCTGCACCGCCGCCCTCAGGCTGCACGCCGATTGGGTGGCAGGCACCCCGGCGCGCCGCGCCATTGGCCAGATGCCGGGCCCGGGGCGGGACACACCCACCGGCTTCCCGATGGCGGGGTTAGGTTGGACGGGGGGGGAGGGGGACGGGATGGGGCGGGGTGGGTTCCCGAGGCCTGGGCCTCCGGGAGGGCGGGAAGGCCCACATGCAGGGGATGGGGAGACGGCGGGATGGGGGACGGCGGGGTGGCACGCACCAGGTTCTCCACGGCCGCACGCTCCAGGAACTTCTGCGCCGCTTCCAGTTCCAGCCGATCTGGGGGGAAGGAAAGTGGGAAAGGGGACAGGGTCAGAGGGGCCAGGGCTTCCCCTCCCCCCACCCAATCACCTCAGTTCGACCCCCCGGCCCCCGCGTCCTACCGGGAGACACGGTCTTCTCGAGGATGGTGATAAGCTCCATGGCGGAGGTGGTGGCGGCGACTCCTCTTAGGACGACGGCCCGGCCTCTCGGGCGGCGGCTCTAACTGGGGATGGGGGTTGGGGGTCGGGTGGGTAGGGAGGGGGGGGCGGGGGGC